TCTAATTAGATCTAGACGGAAGAGAGCAAAAACAACTATAGATACAGTTACTSGTGTAGGCAAGAAAGATGTCATAACTGAAAATGTATCCGGGATTGGTAAGTTTTATCTAAATACAATCGAGTTAACATTTACTCTTTATAAATATGCATATTATATTGAAGTGAACTTATTGACGTACAATGCACCATCAATGGATCATGAAAAAAGTCCTTCAATGTGCACAAGAAGCAAACGTCATGTAAGGAAAGTAGATGAAGTTTGCATTGCGGATAAAAAAAACTAGAAATATAGGTGAGAATTCATTATATAAAGTATGTGTAATTTTTTTCATTAGTCGTTTATATAGAATCAAATGATATATGCATTGCGACACTAACAGCTTCATCGTTTTATTTATAACATTTGAATTAGGACAAAACCGGCGAAAGAGTATTGCATTAGATAAAACAAAGGATGGGGGAAAAGATGAAACRAATAWAWGTAAGGAAYGATTAGTAGACTCTGATTCAAGTGAAGAAAATCTTTGCGAATTGGAAAATTTGAGAACTAGAACATCACCAAGAACCTTGTACCAGACAATAGTTGGTTTAAATGACGCCCAAAAAAATGYTGTTAAACAAATGGGGCTTGGAGCTTTATTAGAGATGACAATCAATGGAGTGCCAACAAAACTTGGTTTTTTTGTTGTCGACAACCTTGACGTGAAGAATATGGAGTTGAAGGTTGTGAATGGTGGAATACCAATCACAATTGAATCAATCCATCAATTGTTGGGTTTGAGAATGGGAGGAGTTGATATTTTAGAGATTGATGAATTGGAGGATTCAAAAAATATGACAGCTAACTGGAGGAAACAGTTTGATAAGAAAAAAATGCGCCCGAAAGACATTATGAAKATAATACAMAGTTCAGGAGATGCCGGGTTGAACTTCAAACTGAATTTTATGGTTCTCTTCGTGAATCTGATGGTGGAATGTAATAGAATGGGATGCTGCAGTTTTGGGTTCTTATCTAGAATAGAAAGTGAGGATGTAATACCAGARATAGATTGGTGTAAGTACATATATGCGAAGATAAAAACAAGCAAGTCCAAATGGAGAAGGGATAGTAGAATGTGCTTCTATGCTGGACCATTGACATACCTCGCTGTAAGTTTTTGTCTACATATAAAACTACAAAAAATCTTTACATAACAAAACCARTATTTCATTWGCASTTGTTATACGTGGAATCGACGATAAGTCCAAAAGTTGTKGTGGAGCACAAGGGCCATGCAATCTYATCATGGACTMTTGATTTGTTAAAGAAACGACAATCAACAGAGATTAAAGACGGAGGGTTCGGGCTACTACCTCTGCGATCTAAAGCTGAATCAAGTGAAGATGTTCATCACCGTTACGCTTCAAATCGAGAGAATGTTGGTGAAACATCAACACCGACACATTTGAGCAAAGAGGTTTGATTTATACATTTTATTTTCATTTAAAAGTCATTCGATGTTTCATTTACATGGGTTGTATCTGATGAATCTATATTCAGCATATTAAAATATTGAATCTGTTTTAAGTATTAAAAACAGCTAAAAACACACTGAATTAATGAATTATGTTTCAATTACGGCTGCCATATCATGCGTCATTACTGCCGTCACTTGTTCATTTATAGATAATACGTATTACTTTAWGTTATCACTTTCTAATACATTTAAATGTCAACAAATGCAGGATCATGTTCAACGTATACTTCTTAAGATWKCTGTCGTTTTAAGTGCAAGAGTAGAGGCTGATATGGAAATTAAAGAAGCGATGTCCAAATTCCCAGATGAAGAAGAATTCAAGCAATACAAAAAACAACTGGATGAAATGTTCACTGAAGGAGCATGTAAGACGACAAATGACACCTATTCTAGTGGACTGAAGGATCATTCAAGTGCAAAAAACGATGGACATCCTTCATTGGATATTGTTTCAAGTCATCCAARTGGGTTCAATGAAAACCAACTGCCCACTGTTTGGTTAAGCCCTGGTTTCATTGAAGCAGTTGACAAAGTCGTTGAAAATACTATATCAACGTCAAAGAAGAAAAGACCATATGCAGCCATTAGTCCTCCAAAGTTTGATTTGGGTATTAGTCCAATCAAGCAAT